TATTTTTTATGTTTTTTAATTTTTTTTTTCTTTTTAAAAAATAAAACTATGTATATATATTTATATGGTAAATATATGCATATTATTACCACTTTAATTTACAAATTTTACATACAAAATATTTAAATTTGTTATTTTTATGTATATTTATATATCACAAAATACTCTATATATAATTTTATAAAATTAAAAATTTATTATTCGGTTCAGCAATTGACCCGGTGACCCGGCGGTTGAACCAGTGACCTGGTGACCCAGAGACCAGCCAGGTCGATTACCAGGCCGGGTTTAAAAACTATGCAATATACAATGAAAGGACTTTAGAAGGGGGAGACCACACACAAGGACTCACTCCCATGAGAGACCATAAAGGCCAAACAGAACCAACACCTACTACAAAAAACACTAACCCACATCAAATAAACACACACTAAACAAACCAAACAAAATGTAAATGTCTTTACCACAACATATAAAACTCAAGAAGAGCAGCTCTAGCATTCAAACTTTTTACCACATTCTCATTTTCAAGATAGACCAACACTCTACTCCACCCCATACTCTTCCCTTGTTCTGGTCGATCCTTTTTTTTTTCGAAACGGAATTAATATATAGCACCGAAATGTACAGAATTACAAATTGGGATCCAACTGGACCCAATACCAGAGAGACACCACAACCGGTGCTCTAAAATTACCAAACTAGAAGACACACTAAACACCAAAAGGACTTAAAGCACATGCAAAGGCCAAAGGAACCTTTGTAATCCATAACATTGCAATGAGCCCTTCAACACAAGCACAGACAACATAGAACAACCATCACAGGAAAAAAACTAGCACTAGCAACAACATGCCAAATAACACACAAGAAAACTAAAAACAGAGAAGAACTAACACAACAAAAAGCATCACCCAGCTAGCAAGAGCAGAAGCACCCACTGAACATCAAGGACCTAGGCACACTTCAGCTTCTCACAGGCTAGGTTGTTTCCACTGAAAGTTTGGCTCCTTCCCTAAAAACACACCATACCGCCACTTATTCTTCCCCAATGAATGCCCACCCCTTCACTCTCAAACCCATGCATTTCTGGTTTTCCAAAGCCACCAGAGGATGTATGTAGAAAGAGTTATTCTATCCACACCACTTGTTGGCCCCTGCAACTTGCACAAACCATCCCACCACTCTTTGTAGCCTACTAGATATCCTGTATCATATTCCAATTTAACCCAACCAAATTCCAGACTAGTTGGCTCTCTCACATCTAAAAAATAAGTGCTCTAAATCCTCAACATTCTCCCAACACAGATACATCATTCAGTACACCTTTTCGTTCTAACCTAGCTTTTGTGCCAATGTTGTTATGCCAACATCTCTAAAGATTTTTTTTTTTTT